TAATGATTATGCAATTTAAGAAATCTATCAAATAATATTCATATCTTTACTAGCTATCCAATTTAAGTTTTGATGCAAATCTCACCAAAGATTTACTCTCAGAACAGAAAATGTTTGATTATTGTGACTGCTTCACTCATGGTTTATATGTCTGGAGAAATTATATAGTCCAAAGTAAAATATAACTCACATTATATCGAGCTACCACACTGAGATGTAGTCATTCGCATCCTTCGATACCTCAAATGTGCTTCAAGATTGGGATTGTTATATCGAGTTAATGGACATCTCAGAGTGGAAGATTTTTAGATGCTAATTGGGCTGGTTCTCCCTCAGATTGGACATCAACTACTGGCTATTGTACCTTTTTGGGAGGTAACGTTGTTACATGGAAAAATAAACAATAGTAGCACGGTCTAGTGCTAAGGCTGATTATAGAGCAATGACACATACAGTAAGTGAGTTGACATGGTTGCTATACTTTCTTCGGGAGATTGGTTTCCAAATACAACTTCCTCTACAGTTGTTCTGTCATAATCAAGCAGCTCTTTATATTGCTGTCAATCCAATGTTCTTTGAGCGGACTAAATATATTGAAGTTGATTATCACTTTATTTGAGACAAGATACTAGATGGAGATATTGCAACTCAATTTCTAAAATCTGATGATCAACTTGTAGATATGTTCACCAAAGTATTAAGTCGTACTCGCCTTGTAATCATTTGTTCCAAACTTGGATTATGATATATATACTCCAGCTTGAGGGGGAGTGTTGAGAGTGTTAGTGTCATATTGTTTGATATTTATCATGGTGTAACAAGTATATCTCTCTAAGGGTATACTAGTCATTTGTACTTTTACAAGGTAACTATAAATATAAGTTGAGTGTGAGAGGTAGGGTGTCAAGTTATTCTCTGCCCCTCTTATATTGGGTTAATTCTCTCCATTCTCTAAACTTAATAGTTATTTTATTGGATAACCATTTGGATCCAAATCCAGTTAATACATTTTTTGGATCACCAGGATCACCCCCATATCATGGACCATTGAACTCCCACTGAGTTTGATTTGAGTAAATATTATTGTTATATAACTTAAATAGTGTGGTTATCTAAAATTTCATTGTTATATCTTACCTCTACCAGCAGGGCTACAGCAAAACTAGGGAGTTGGGCAGCGAAGAGCTATTGGAGCAGTTGCCTGCTTTGCAGCAGCTGCTATATCGTCTTATTGGATGCCGGGTATCGTCTCATGAAACCTGGGGAATTTTTTTCTTTAGGCTCACAAGAGCATGTGTGTTTGTGTTACATGGATCATTATTTTTCAAGATTTCTTAGTTGTTTATTTAATATAGCACTTGCAAATGCAACATTGACATCACCTATTAACTTTGCAGCCTGAAGGAGCAGCTGTCGGCAATTATGTGATACAATATGCCCTGGCTCTGGTATGTGTCCATTCTTTTTCTATCCATTTAAGAATAAAATTGAAAATTGAGAAGAGATGAAGAATATGGGTGTACAGCATTTTCATTTCATTGGCAGACTTAAAACTTTTATATGCTTCTGATGACCCTTGTTTCATCTTCTTTTGAATAATATATGTTCTCACTTCTCTGTGGTAATTACCAGTCTCCGTGTTTGTATATGTGTATCTATGCGTGCCTGGGCGGCTGAGCACAAGGTGGTCCCCCCTCCTTTTTCCACCTGACTCTCACTCTCACTCTCAGTTACTCAGTGATGCCGATAAATTTGGGAAATTAAAAGCAAGAAGGAAGAAAGAGGCATAGTGGATGAACAATTGTGGCTGTTGATACCCTGTTTTATGACCTTGTTAATATATGGATTTTCAGGTACTCAAAGAGAGCTTCAAAATTTATTGTGCAATTAATGATGGCATCATCAATCTTGTGGAAAAGGTGGATTGATTGTATCATTTCTGCAAGATTACTTATTTTGGTGAATGCTGTTATTCTTTAATTTGTCTTATGGTTACTCTCTCTCAATTTCATTTCAGTTCTTTGAGATGCCCAGACATGAAGCTATGAACGCCCTGGATATTTATAAAAGAGCTGGCCAGCAGGTGATATTTGCTTTGCAGAAGTCATTTGGAATATCTTGGTTGCTGGCTATTATGTGTTTAATCTAGTTTGCTTATTAAACATAAATATGATGGATCTGAAAGGCTAAATTGGATACTACCTGTTCAGCTTTATGGTTTATCACTAAAAAGGGTATAGGTTTCTATTGCAGGCTGGGAGCCTTTCTGATTTTTACGAAGTTTGCAAAGGATTGGAACTTGCTAGAAATTTTCAATTTCCTGTTTTGAGAGAGGTAACAATGGTGTAACTAATATTCAGCGTGTTTGTCGTAATTGTTATCTTTGACAACAACTACTTAGAAAACAAGTTTTTTAGTAAATATATATTTTGATAGAATGTACTGATGCCAGCTTTACACTTTGTATACATTGTCCAGCCTCCACAATCCTTTCTTGTGACTATGGAAGAGTATATACGAGAGGCACCCCGGATGGTTTCTGTTCCAAGAGAGACATTGGTTAGTTTGTTTATCTTATGGACAACTGACATTTGACTTGCTTTATCTTTACCACTATGTATCTCTGCAACATTGGGATTTTAGGTTCATTTTAACTTTTAGTCATTGTGCATTTTGTTTTTGGATGTATTTTCTGCTGTGCTAATATTTGGCCATCATGAATCAGGAATATCCAGAGAGGCTTCAATTGACATACAAGCCAGAAGAAGATCCTTCACCTTCTGAAGACACAAAAATGTCTGCTGATGAACCTACGCCACTGTCTGCAGATGATGATGTTGTTGTCGCGAATGTTGAGGTTCCCGCCCCCTTCCCATCTCCTCCAAGCAACTTGGACTCTGATGATCTACTGGTGAGTCTCTAGTTCATTTTCTTTTTCCTTGACAATTGTAGGTTGATGATTACTTAGAAGTTAGAAGTGGATCAGGCTTGCCATCACATACTTTTCTGTTGATTTCATTCCTTACCGCTGTCTCTATGCTTGCTTGTTTTAGGGATTAAATGCCACCACGCCTGCTGCATCTGCAATTGAGGAAAGCAATGCTTTGGCTTTAGCCATAGTTCCATCTGGTAGCATTTTCTTCTCTTTTTCCTGCTATTTTCCATTGCAATCCACATGATTCTGTTTCTTTTTACATTTTACATATGAAGAGTTTGATATGTGATACATGCAGATACAACATCATCAGACTCTGGTAGTGCTCTAGCGAAAGATTTTGATCCTACTGGATGGGAACTTGCACTGGTCACCACTCCCAGCAGCAACATTTCCTCAGTTCAGGAGAGGCAACTGGTAGGTCCTTCATATGAATTTTTTATTTTTTCCGTGTCATTTTGTCTTGTTGATGACTCATATAACAAGAAACTTAGTTTACTGTTTCTAGTCACTCTACAAATGCTCAAACTGTTGACTTGTCATGGCCTTAGGTGGATGTCCCTGACGTCCAAGTTTACCTCCGTTTTTATGTCATGCTAGCACTGTTGCCGGACTGCTACAGTGAATTGGCATTCAAGACTGTTTTTAGAATGTAGATCATTAAAAAATTGTGCACAGTAAAAAACGATCACTTAACAAAAAAATATTTGGTTAATGTTACATTGGACATACACATATCCGAAGAGTTTTTTACTCATTGGATGCAGCATACCCAAAAATTTTTCTTTTCCCGAAGAACTTTTATATGGGGACATGGCCAAACAATTTAAATTTTTAAGAGATTCTTGACTACAAAAGTAAATAAGCATAAATTAATGTCAATACACTTTTCCCTTGTATCTGATGTTATACTGCAGACCCTCTTACAATCAAGGGTCAAATAATTAACAATTATGGAGATGGAACAACTTAAAGATCTCTCTCTCTCTCTCTACCGGTGTCCAAAAACCTTTTGTGATGTATTCATTGTTTTGGTTAAAAAGGACAATTGAGACGTCTCCCCTGGTCTGTTTGAAACTAATGGATTGCAAATTCTTAAGGTCATAAAACAGCTTTAATATCTTTTTGATGGGTAAAGTTACGAGAAGGTAGCACATGTTGCTCCCTTATGTCTCATGGTAGGAGGAATTGAAAGTTAGAATGATGGAGAATGTTATTAGGGAAAGAATAGTCCCTTTCCTTTGTCCTTTTAGTTGAGCATGGCGGAAATGATTCTCACTTTTCACTTAAATTTATTTGTTTCTTTTAATATTTATTTGCCCGGTTGGTTGTTATTAAGACTCATGATTGCTGTTTGAATAGCAAAAAATTCACAAAAAAAGGTTCCTCTGTTCCTATGCTGTTCTTTTGGACCCAAAGGAAATAGTGCATCCATAAATGCTCCTTTTCCATCTTTCCCTTGTTTAATGAAACAAATGGTCTCTCTCATTCTGCATTATTTTTCTTTGCACATTTCCTTCCATCAACCCTCTTACTGATTAAGGTTCTGCTCCCTTGAAACCTACTGGAATTGAATAACATTTTAGTTCATGAAAAAAATGGTTGTGCGACTTGCTAATAATGGTGCACCTTCATGGTCAACAAATCAGGGAGAAACTTCTTTGGAAAAAGAAAGTCATTTCTACGATTTAGTTTGATGTTAAGAAGATTGAGGGGCGGAGAGCGTGACAGGTGGTGATATACGAGTCACAAGTAAGAGGAGGTGGTAACTGTCTATGGATATTCATAGAAGTTTGGAAAAATCTCTTTGATCTTTAGCTATAGGTCTCGTAGACTGTGCTTGCTATGGATGTTCAATGAAGAATGTTCTCCAGCACATGCATCGTAACATGAAAACGGCCAAGGACATTGACCTTTACTTGAAAGAAATGTTTGGTGAGCAGCTCCTTTATTAGTAAGGTTGCTACACAAAACCTACTTAGGAGTCTCTTCAATACTAAGATGCCTGAAGTTTCTTCCCTTCAAGAACATGTTCTTAATATGATATATCTATCCATTAGAAGCCATGGCTAGTGCCCTAGATGCAGACATCCAGATTGAGGCGATCTTATTTCCGGGAGTGAATCTTTGTATTCACCATTCGGTGTTCATCATTCTTTTCATCTCTTTAGCTTTAGCTTTATTACTACTTTTTTGTGATGGAAAATTGGATGAATGATCTTGAAACCGTTTGACTTAATTTAAGCTTATAACTCGTGAGAAGGGCCTATAACCCTCTAGAAGTTTTATCACAGCTAGGGGCGGGGCCAGGGTTTTTCCATAGTGGGCGCAACCATTGGTTTGAGGAGAAGGACCACACAACAATCATCAAAATCTGTTGCGCCTTTCGAATAAATAGTGTGTAGGCTTGTCAACAATCAAATTTGGATCGATTTTCGAGATATCCAAATCCAGTTTGAAACTTCTTTCTAAATCTGATTTGATCATTCAACAAATTCCATTTTAAAGTCTATATCCGAATAAGATAAATATTAAATATTCGAGCAAATCCATGAGTTATTTAGAGTTGAATTTTAGCAAATAGCATTTTAGTTTTGATTCGATTTCATCAATTAACACTCAATTTTATCATCAATATATATGAATGTAATTAATCAGATTAGATCACAATCAAGTTAGAGTTTGGTATATCAAAACTTAAATTCATGAAATAGGACATAACCGATTTGGACTTGGATAATTGGTCAAAGTTATCAATCCATATTGGACTAATCTAATTTTGAATCAAATTGAATTCAAATTAAAATCTAATATATTAAGGGAGGTAAATTTTAAATTTATGAAAGAATCCCATTTGATTTTTAAAATATGAAACTATATTTTATTCTTTTTTGTGGGGCTAGGTTTAAGAAACTTTAAATTTTTTAAATTTCAAATAGACCCCAAACATTTTGAAAATTGCAGTGGAGGCAAGTGCCCCCACCTTGTATCCGTCCCTGATCGCAGCAGTTTATTGACCAATATTGTACTTTTTGTCGTGTGGGCTTTCATTTGTTTTAAAATAACTTGATGATACTGCCCATTAATTTCCGATTTAAGGGAAAATATATTGATTTTGGCAACCTGAAGATTACAAACGATGGAAGGAAATTTGGAGTGGAAGTATTAAAAATGGATTTGTTATCTAGTGAGGAAAATGTGAAAATCAGAAGGTAACTAGTGATGAATGTTTCCCAAGTGGGAGGGTTGTGCTGCAGGGGGATGTGTTTTACAAATCAAGAGCTAATTTGAAATTGAGGATTTTGCGCGATGTGCAATTTCAGTTTTGTTGTGAGGAGTTCATGGCTTTATGTGCTTCACGTAGAGCACCTACATCATCAGAGCACAGAATTGGTTTGGTACACATCGCTAGCATTGTCACAGTGAGGCGTCTCCTTTGGAAAATAGACTAACATAAATATTGGTTAGGGTGGTTTTGGAAATTCATACTCACCTTTTAACTTTTATGAGAGCTGTAACGAGGTCTGTGTTACACGGAGGGTTTGCATTTTCTTTCATCGTTGTTCTCTTGTATCACGTGTTTCCTGTCCTGGCATGAACATTCTAGCAACATGCCCTTTACATGACGAGCAAGAATGGGAGGAACACAAGCTCTTTCTAGAATGTTCTAATCATTGAAAAGGAATCATAGAAATGGATTCAATTTCAAACTTGCTGAATTTAGATAGCTGCTGTAAAGATGGTTTGGAATAAAAAAGTTTATATTGTGTATATCTACCATACTAGGTAAAATAAACTTACTCTCTCCGTAGTCCTGGTTTGTGGGTTTGCTTGATCAGAGGCATTGTATATGTGGTTGATTGACACATACTGTCTATTCAATCATCACAGATGACTAGTGCAACTGAGAGGCATTTTTACTGAAGTTCTTGATCAGGCGCAACATCTATTTTCTGCATTCCTTAATTCATCATTTTTGGAGCTTTCGACTCTCGCGTGGTATTGCCTGTCTTGGATACCACTATATGTTCAGTTATATTCACGTGAGTGATGATGAGAGTTCCTAGGTATTTGCACTTTGTCAGTGATTATGTGTCCATAGTGGGCCTCAAAACATTGTAGTGGCCATTCTATTTATTGTGGTTAGTTTCTGCTAAACGGATCATTCTACGTCTGGCTGACATATTTGTTTTTATATTATCATCAAAAATGTTTTTTTTTTGTTGTTTATTATAATGAGTGTTATTATTCAATCTTGTTGGTAGTTTGTGAGTGGCAGAAACTGAGAGCTTAATATGTAAATCGTTGTAAATTTACTGCTGTACCACAGAATGCATTCACATCACTGCTTCCACTGTTTTATAATCATGGCTCCATCTATAAAAATGAATGGCAGGCTGGTGGATTGGATACACTCACTCTGAGTAGTTTGTATGATGAAGCTGCATATAGAGCCTCCCAGCAGCCAGTATATGGAGCACCTGCTCCAAACCCATTTGAAGTACAAGATCCATTTGCTTTGTCAAACAACATAGCGCCACCTCCAGCAGTTCGGATGGCTGCCATGACTCAACAGCAGGCCAATCCATTCGCCCCCTACCAACAACCAGCCTATCCACCGCCCCAGCAGCAACAGCACTCAATGATGGGCCCACAAAATCCATTCATGGATGCAGGATTTGGAGCATTTCCTGTCACCCATACTGGTCATCCACAAACGAACAATCCATTTGGGAGCACTGGCCTACTGTAATCATCTGGAGCATATACAGTGTAATTTTACTATAGCTTAGTTGATTTTTGATGTATTTGAGCTTGACTGAAGCTGTACAAGTTTGTGCAGTACCTCTTGATAGATGATTTTTCCAGGTTGATCTTGTATTTGTTTGGAGTTGTAGAAGATAGTCATTGGATGATGATAAACAGAAGCATTTTCAGTGAAGGTAATTCACAGTAAATAATATGGCAACTGTACTATGACCTAATCTGTTGGCATTGTCGTCATTTATTTCATATCTGCTGTGAGGTCTATGAGCTCCTTCAACTCCTGCCATGGTGTCATGGAGTAATGCCGGTCATGGTATTGGAGTGTGTTTTTCTTATAATTCTTTTTTTTTAACTCGGTCCTCCCGGGTACTGTACCTGGGAGGATCGAGTTGTGATGTGCATGCTTATATTATGGATGTTTTTATGAAACTGTATGTTTTTTAAATAATAATAGAATTGTAATATATTAAAAATAAAGTATTTATTATAACGATATTAATAATAAGATCTAAAAAATATTAATATTTTGATTAAAATAAAAATAGATCAAAATAATTCATTTTTATTAAATATTATTACATCTATTGATATTCATAATATATAAGTTATATAACAAAAAATATATTAAAATAAATAGAAATAACACGTCTTTTAATAGTTAACATTTAAAAAAAAATAAAAATTTGTTGTATCCTAGTTGTGTCTTAGGTATGTTCGATTAGATTCAGTAATTAGAACACTTTTAACCAAATTAGACACGTGTCAGACACCAACTTGACTATTTAGAATACTTAATATTATATCAAACACTTGGTGGACATGAACTGACAGTGTCATGACAACCCTCTAGGAAGAATCAGTCCTTTTTAGCCGCACTCCAATTAGGAGTTCTTGGGCCCCCGTTTTGGTTCAGTGTGAGAATCTTATATCATTTGGATTATGAAATTTAATTTTAAAATTTGGTCCGAGTGACAAACTGTAATCAATCAAATTCAATTTTTCTTTATCCCCCCTTCATATTTACTCAGTTCATCTGATTTAAGTGGAACCCACAAGAACCAAGAAGTGAGCCCACCAAATTTAGAAGTGGATGTTTGTGCTTGATTAAAATTGACAAAATTTAAAGTCAAGATTATATAGACCCATCCAAATTCTCTTCATCGAAGGTTTATTCAATATTTTTATGACCATCATCGAGTGAGTTGGTTTAGTGGGGTACCGACTAAACTTTTTACTCTGAAATTAGAGGTCTGAGTCTTAAAGTCTACATTGAGATTTGGTGGTTGACCGTTATGTTAGTCTAGTTAGATTTGATTCCAAGAGGAGTAACAAGCAAGGTTAGAGGCATCGTGATCCCACCAGTGATGGTCTATCGGGGTGGTGTTTGGACGCTTTCTTTGATTCCCACCTCTTTTTTTCAATAGCAAAAAAAAAAAAAAAAAAAACTCTTGTGGAGATACACCAACTACATTGAAATGTTTGAATGGAAAGATTTTTCTGACTTGTTAAACTGGTGGTTTTAGTGTGTGTTGGGCTGGGGGTTGTTTATACGAGAGAGAGAGAGAGAGAGAGAGGGCAGAAAAGCAAAAGATTGGGGGGGGGGGGGTCCCTTACTTGCATTCTCTTTAAATGCTTTAAAGCACCATCATTAGGACACACCACTCATCACTTCTCGTGGCAAAGCCATTGTATTAGTGTATTGTCGAATAATATTTAAAATAAAGTAGAGAGGGGGAGGGAGAGGTTAAAGGCTTAATTTTGAACTTAAAAGAGGGAATGTGTGTTTACAACCACAAGATCTTCTAATTTCCATTCTTCCAAGCAAAAAAGCAGAGGTCAGATTTAAGGGAAATGACAAGTGATAGTACGGTTCTTAGTATGTTTAATTTTAGAAAAATAATTTCAGAATGAGCGTGGGACCGACTATAAAGCTCATAATGCAAATGACAAGATAGAAGCCATGAAAAAAAAGGGGCAACACTACTCTATACGATATCCTTTTGTTTGCTGTAAAACAGACTTTCACAATATATTGATCTTGTTTTTAAAATTGATATCGAAAGCGAATTTTCAATCTTGCTTTCCCAAAAAAATACTTGTTTTGGTTTTGTCAAAATTAAATGCAAGAGTTTGGTGAAGACTCATCCTAACATCCCCTACCTTATATCACATGGTAGTTTGATCGATTTTAAACCATTCAAGCAGACATGAAATGGGATGAAAAGTTTGTTCTATTACCAAAAAAAACAAAAACAAAATATTGCCTGCCTTTTTTTTTTTTTTTTTAATTCGGATTGGATTTATTTTAGCTTTGTTGAGGAACTCGTGTAGTTTGTTACATCAACTTCAAAAGTATAAGTTGTGGTGAAATCGAGAATGAAGTTCGTAATTGCTTAAAAAGAGAGAGTAGTAGCTGCGGCACGTTGAGACACTTCTTTGACGATCGTAGTATCATTTTATTTAGTTGGTATGAAAAACGTAAAATGCATGTTAAGGTATACAATGAAAAAAGGTGAATACATAGTGGTATGGACAAAACCATCTTCATGTAGGGATGGTAATTTTCTACATTTATAGCACAAATTTGATACGCGATTATCGTGTGAGAGTTAACTAGTTGACTCGCTAGTATATATAGTTTTACGTAGATAACATCATAGTAACAAGAGAAAGAAAGAATTAAGTTAAATGAATTGACTCCAACACAACACAATATCTTAACAGGTTGTGTTAACATCATAATATATTTAACATCATTAATTAAGCATATCAAATTAAACTTAACATTACACAATACAAATAGGAATTGACATGATTTGAATATAACAAAACACGACTCGCCTACCCTACTCTTAGAACTTGACTAGGGCACTGATAAAAAAATTTAGTACCGTAACTCTAAAAGTTAGTACTTTTGCTAATATTTTTATAATTTTTGTGGGTATTTAGTAATAAAAATTTAAAACATTCACAACAATGATAAATATCAGTATAGTACCGATTTTTTTTTTTTGAATTTCGTAGACAACCCCTAATCTTAGACATTGCAATGATGGTTGTCGTATATTCTTTTATTATTTACTTCTCTTACTCAAATTCCTGCCATCTTTAGAGGGACAGATGCATGCATAGTGGTGCATGTTTGGCTTCGTAGTTTCAATCATTATATTTTATTTTCTATTATTTTTTTTCTTGATAAGTATTTTTTATTTATCATACTATTATTGTAGAGAAAAAACGACAAAATTCGAACCGTGATCGTAACGTCTAACAATGAGAACGGTGGTCGTTACACAAACCGCTAACCTCTCTTGATAAGTATTAAGTTACTATCATTATGTTCACCAGAAATCATGTTGTTCTCAACAGGTGCCACACCATATGAATATCCAACTAAACATTCCTCTTGGAGAAGCAATGGTGGCAAAAGTCACGTAGACTTAGACATGTCAACCATCACTAATGCTTATCCCTATTGGCTAATGACTCCATCACACCACAAGATGAGAACTAGATCCTACCCATGTTGAAAAAGAATAAAGAATAAATTACACTTTGATTGTTTTTACTACGGCATGTGTATGAGAAACTGTATAGTTCAGGAAGTAAAGTGAAATTGAGCCAATAGCTTAAAATGTGAAGTGTGATATGTCCAAGAATGAAACTTTTATTTAGGCCAGAGCCAGTGAGCATCCCCTTCTCTAGAGTGTACATTCCACATCGAGACACAAGAGAAACAGAGTGTTTCATCTTCAAGGAAACATCATGATCTCATTGAGAGCAAGGGATGACAATTTTCTACACAACAGATTAATACGATATAAATTCGACACAAATTTAATGGGTTCATGTTAAACAGTTCTTAATACAAACCTGCAAACACTAATTTTATAAACGGTCCAGATTAGTATAAAATACAAATAATCCGATAAGTGGTATTATATAAAGAACACTTTTTTTTTTCTGTTTCTAGATCCGTTTTGCGCGTAGTATAGTAGACTTAGAGGATTTTTCAATTATTTTTTTGTAAGCATCTAGATCGAGAAGATTTTTAATTTATGGGAGCTATGATTGGCGCTTTTGGTTGAGATGGAAATGAATCCTAATCAAAGTTCCTGATTCATAACTTGTAAGTGTTCACTCAAACATGATACGATTAATACATAAGTCAAGTTACCGTCAAAACATCTGACACAACTAATCAACCCAATCGGGTTGTCGTTACTTAATGTTTTACACAAATTCAAACGATATGACTCGAAACTTTTGAATACAAGGCTTGTATTATCATTGGCTATAGTTATAGAGACTCTAGTATGATTACTATTTGTACAAGACTAAGCAAACATAATGTCATTCATTAGTTTGGTAGGATGATGCCTTTGTAACCACGCGAGCCGCGTAGTAGATAATGCCCTATGGGGTCCTTCATGCACTTGAGGATGAACAATTTATCTTATGTTGTTCATTAAATAAAATTTTTTTACCTGTCAATATTGAAATTGTTATTAGATTTTTTTTTTTTTTTGGGGGGGGGGGGGGGCGGGGATAATTTTAAAACTAAGTCCATTCAAAGAAATGTGGGCCAAAAAATCAACACTATAAAAATAGATGATGTTGTTTAGTTGAAATTTTTCAACATAATCTGATATATAATAGGTGACGGCAGACTACTTGGAATAGGATGATCGTCGTGTCTTTAAAGCATAACGAAAGACTAAAAAGTAATAGTATAGGTAAAATAGGTCAAAGTTTGAATTCAGTAGAATCAGTGGTGTTTGATCTAAATTGGACCAACGATCAAGACTTGTTGCTTTGCGAGAATGCTTTCAGTTTTGAATCGAATTTCATAGTTTAGGCTTTCAAAATTCCATTTTTGCCATTTTAGGAAAGATTTCAAAATTAATTATAAAACATATGAGATTCTGAAATTAACTCCTCAATTTTGTTAGACTTCAGATGACATGTGCTTTTATGTTAATTAGGAAAATCACACATTTTCATTTTTGATACTTTTCATAATTTTAGGAATTTTCCTTTAGTTATGGGAACGATTAAGATTTTGACCGTTACTATTTATATTGCTCTGTATTACAAAAAAATCATTTAATAATATCATAACTTCATAGTTTTTTCTCAATTTTTTCTGTAGATTCAAAATGTTCTTTTTGGTTCGATACATAAAAAATTGTAGTATTCTTTGTTTTCTTTGTTCCGCTGCATTATAATCCACAGGAGTTTAGATAAGTGGTCGAATATAGAACACTACGTTAATACAAACATTTTGAGTTTAAAAAAAAAAGAAAACAAAAATACTCCAACACAACCTTAGCTAAAAGGTCATTATTGCCATTGAATTGTGCAAACTTATAATGCAAGCACATCGCATTCCCACTTTTGCGGTTGTCCTTTGGTCAAAAAAATTGAAAGGCTAAAAGGAAAATAAAGGAAAAGGGCTTAACGTGACAGTACATGTAATCAACTTTTTTGGAGATGATTATTCTTAATCATCCTTCTAAGAAAGAGCAGTTGGATCTAAAATTTAGTTTATGTCCTAAATAAGGTTTCAAATGCTTTTCCCTACGGGTTTCTCCTTTTGACCTTTCCCCCACAAAATTTGAGAATCAAAGTCGTGCCATAAATTCTACCTTGTCGTCGGATTAGATCATGTTTGAGTTGTGGTATATTGAATTCAAATTATATTATTTTAGATCATATCATATTTAAATCGGGACGAGAGAATTCATTAATCAGAATCCCTAGGACTAATAACCCTTCTCCCTCAATCAAATCATTCGCATAGTCTCAATCAATTAAAAATTTACTTTATCTACATCATAGTAAAACGGAATTAAAAAAGTAATTTAATTTTGCATTAATTAATGCCATAAGAAATGAAAAAAAAATTAATATCAAATTAAGAAATAAAAAATTAAACAATCAGACATTTCATTCACACAATTCCACTTAAATTGGTTTGTTATGTCAAAATCGAGTAATTCGTATTTGCCAAATGCAGTCGGGTATAACTAGGGCAGCAAGTTAGGAGTCTTTGATCTAATGATCGTCCGATGATAATCTTTATTTTGTGAAAGTTTTATCTTCTTGAGGTTAAGGGTTCAAGTTTCTTTCCTTACTTCATCTTCTCCTCCCAAAAAATAAAGAAAAAAAGTAATAGTAATAAGTTAGGAGTATCTCAAACGCAGACATAACAAGTGTCTCAAAAATCTTAACACAAGCAAGCTGGCCTCGACTTGTAACCTTTCACATGTATAGTGGTAAGAGGAATCTTTATTCCGGACGGCCAACTAAGATTATGTTTGATAAACTACACAGTGAACAATAAAATTTAACAAGCCTTAATGGTCGGGATAACCTGGCAAGCACTTTCCTTGGCTGTTTCAACTAAGAATTCCGCCTAATTGAATCCAAATTGCAGCAAAAGATGAAAATTTTGATCAGACTTTTCTTGGGAAACACTTTATACTAGCCAACTTAAGCATGGCATCCAAGTTAGAGAGAGAGAGAGAGAGAGAGAGTGTATCATCTTTAGCAATCAAAGAAGTTTAAGTTTAAAGAGATAACTTCATTTTTGATAACTGGTAGGGAAAATCTGGGACATTCAGATTCCATGGATTTTAGGAAAGCAAAAGCATTTTGGGGCCAAAACTCAAAAGTAATGTTTATCTAATACGATTATAATTTGGGCAAATCGCACTTTACACAAAAAAACTGAGAAAATTTTCAATTCTCAAAATTTTAAAGATCAAGTTGAGGTGGGTGTATGATTCTTCCAAAAAAGCATGGGCAGACTTGGGGACTTGGGACCTTGACTTAGCAATGAAGGAAGGGAAGCTTGAAGAGCTTTCTTCGTCGGCGGTTTATGTAGTGGTCCACATTTTATAAGTGATCGTCGACGGTTTGTGTTTGGGTCACATTGGATGTAAATTGAGATTTTTTTTTTAATTTTTGAGGGTATAAATTAATAATAGAAAAATCTTTCAAGGTGAAAAATGTGATTCATCTTAATAACATTGCAATGTTCTAGTTAACAGAAATATAATAGTCTAACATGTGGAACTCATAAAAACAACAATAAATAAAAAAAACTCGTAAAACGACATTATACTCAATACACAAGTCGTTCGTCTACAATCAAATTTGAGACATATAACTGGTATAAACCAACAACTAGGGTGATCTAGTGGAGAACCGGCCTTACTCCTCATTTTGAGGTTGAAAGTTCGAGTCTTGAGTCCCCATTAGAGCTTGATGGTTGACCGCTATGCAGCCTAGTTAGTTCTGGTCCCGAGAGGTGTTCCAGACACAGTTAAGGACTTTATGATCCTACCAGTGAAGACCTATTAAATTAATCATTGGACACTCTTCCTTACCCCCCACCCTTTTCATCATAAGCAAAAAAAAAGATATATAACTGGTATAGGACTATAGAGGTATGTTCTGCATCTTACCACCCAATTAGATCCATCCATTAAGGAGTTGTTTTGTGAGGCATTGTGAGAGGCTTCTTGTTTTTTGGTTGCTTCCATGTGTTGATATTCGATCTAATAACAAAATATTAGTAGTCTAATTAGATTGTGTCTTGTCGAGTCCGTATTTATTAAAATTAATTATGCCAAACTTAGGTTAAATTCAAACCCAACAGGAACTAATCATGTCAAAATCTTTAGCCTAATTCTGTTAATTACATATCGGGTTCAATTCAAATTAACATGCCGTGTGAAAAATTATCATCTCATAAAAATTAGAGAATTTAGATTACATTTCTCATTCATTTGATTAGTTAAATGAAAGAGGAGGACTGAAAGGAATGTGAAAACAAAAACCTTTTTGAATTTTTTGTTCCATGAAGACACACTGATGTGGCAAATACAACTAACATTCATGTTGATTATTGACCAAATTCCCCCCCCCCCCCCAAAAAAAAAAAAAAGGCATGTGAAAAGAAAAAAAACATTTGAATTTCTTTTACTTTCTTGAAAACATACAGATCATTATATAAAATTAAGGACTTGACTATATTGATGAATTTTTTTTTTTAATATTGTACCTTCAAAATTTACTATTTTAATGGGTATTTTTACAACATTTGTGGGTCATTTTATAATTAAAAAATTTATCACTTTTGTAGATGATTTATCATTGTGATAACTATTTTTATAACTATTTTTATCACTTTTTTTCAATAAAAAAATTACCATATTTGTAGGTAATTTATTATATTTGTGAGTGTTTTTATTATTATTATAAATATTTTTATCATTTTTTTTTTGATACCATAACAGTAATAAAACCCACACAAATGTGAAAAATATTGATATGGTATCAATTTTTTTTTTTGGGTACCGTAAAAAAATCCTAAAATTAAATATTCATGTTATATATTGACCAAACAAAAAGAAAAGATAGACATACATGATGAGCTCCAGCATCTGGCATCCTTAATGGACCCCCACCTTACTTTTGGTGTGGTCCACCTGAACAATTTTATGGGTTGTGGACCCCTCCATTTGATGCCCAATAAGAAAAACAAAATGGAGCGGGCAGGATTGGCAAACCAAAAAGGTGTTTGGATCCAAAGTTAACTCTATATCCAACTGGAGTTTGATTGCAAATCCATTTCCTCTAATCCCAAAATAATTATTAGATGGAAAATGGGTGTTATATAATATTACAACTTACACTTGATTTAATTATTATAATGAATTTGATCAAAGTAACATTGCTCTTAACCAACATCTAGTGTACAAAAAAGTTATTTTTATCGGGTATAAAAATATTAGATATACGCAATATCTTATTGCATGCAAAGACATTAATTTTTGAAACTTCAAACTTGTGGCATTAGGATTTATGCTACACTAGATGTGTAGTGATTATTTTTTTTGATTCAATAGTTAGGTGTGTCCGAGTTAACTTATGCTCATCTCGACTAATCTCTAACTCGGTTCAATTAAAGACAGATCATCTACATTAGAATTAAGATATTCATGAAAGATAAATCTTTTATTGTCTGGTCTTAAGAGGTTGCCGAGATTCAAATATAGAATTTTTAAATTTATAATTCTTACTATTTTAATTACTCCTTAAAATTATGTGCAGTGACTATTTGTACCCTTGACACCTACATGAATCCCAAAACATGAACTAGTATTAAGACCATTTGTTACAAATTATTAAACAATAGGATAGGAGCCTTGTAAAGCTGATAGTTTTGAACGTTTTAATTTTTTATTGAAGACTTTGTCAAAACTGACAAGAAGGAAATGCTTCAAAAAGAAAACATTCTTATTTTTCAACTCTTCACTCCATTCTTTTTCAAAAGCTTCAAGTCTTCTTTGGCTGTCTATCTGTCTAAACCGACCATTCGGAGGCTGAATAAAACCACTAGTTCATCTACTTCTTCCACTCTCTCTCTCTAACTGGTTTACATCTCCTCTTTCTCCTCTCTCTGATTCTTTCCATTCTAAAACCTGGTTTCTGATTTGTTTGTCCTCTCTCTCTCTCTCTCTCATATTTTGTACATACCAAAACCAGAGCACCATCCATGGCTGCCAACAAGTTTGCAACCATGTTGCATAGAAACAGCAATAAAATCACACTGATCCTCATCTATGCAGTCCTTGAATGGACTCTGATTATTCTCCTCCTCCTCAATGCTCTGTTTTCGTATCTGATAATCAAATTTGCAGATTATTTCGGCCTAAAACCGCCTTGTCTCTGGTGTTCACGTGTCGATCACATCTTTGAACCAGGAAAAGGCAAGAACATGCACAGAGATCTTCTCTGTGAAGTCCATGCCACTGAGATTTCCAAATTGGGTTATTGTTCAAACCACCGTAAGTTGGCCGAATCTCAATATATGTGTGAGGATTGCTTGCCCTCAAGACCGGACGTTCCCGAGTTATCCAAGAATTTCGATTTCTTGCCATGGATGAAGCAAGTCGGAATGATTCAAAGTGATGAAGATAAGGTGCTTGAGAATGGTGCTGTGAGGTTGAACTGTTCTTGCTGTGGTGTGAGTTTGGAAAACAAAATACGCTCTCCATATATCGTGATCAAGCCTTCGTGGGGTGATTTGGATTATACCCAGAAAAGAAACTGGATTACAGAGACAGGGGATGATGATCATATTGAAGATGGCGATAATTCCGATCACAGCAGATCAGATTTGGCTACCGATAGATGTGAACATGAAAATGAACATGGCTTTGAAAACAAGAGTGAAAATCAGATGCTTTCTGATGTTAATGAAGGTTTTGGTGTAAGAGAAGAGGAAGCAGAGAGGTATAGCTCCGTTTCTATATTTAAACTTGGAGTGAGGGAATTGGAAGGTGATGAAGATGATGAGGTAGGTATGGTTTCCGAAGTTGAGAAAGAAACAATTAAGGAGGATAATTCAAGTATGACCAAGGAAGATCAATCTGTTCAAGTTTGTACTGGAGAAGATGATCCTCCTCAAATCCTCCCTCAGCATCTGGAATTCTTTATTGATTGCAGTGGACATCAATTGGTTCCTGTTGAATTGATCGATTCAAAGACTGAGGAAGATCATGGCAAATACAGTGTGAAGGAGGAAGGTCATGAACACATTGATAATCAAGATCCCAATTTGGTTTCTGAATTATATTTGCAGGTTGAAGTCAAATCTGTTGTGGAAAACAGCACTAGTCTAAGAGAGCCTGAGGCAGAACTCTCTGTCCATGAGAATAAGAAGGAACCCAAGTTTCAAGTGCTTGAGTCAATGGATATAGAAGAGGATGAGAATTCTGTAGTTTTTCATGCAAACAATTGCCATCCAGTGTGGGAATTTTATGACCTAGTTGATATTACCCAAGCAACTCAAATCCCATCCAGAGATGATGAGGTTCAAGCAATGGCGGCAGAATGCAGCAAAGAAAAGGATGCAGATGTTCCTCCAGGTACTTGTTTAAGTTCAGGTTGTCCTTTTATGTTCTATAATCTGAATTTCTTACTCATTTTCCAATTTTTATAGCCTTTGAAGAAGTACATCAAATTCCAATGAGTGAAACTGAGGCAGACGTATCAATAGGGACAGACATTCCGGATCTGGAGACAACAGATGAAATTCAAACTCAAGAAACTTCTTCTTCATATGCATGCACACATGAAGATGCTTCCACAAGTGCTGTCCATTTTCACACCGTTGAAGATTATGGTATGCTTTAGAATGTTATTTTAACCCTTGAAATGTAGAATTCTGATTAATTGGCATTTTAATCTCAAGATGAAAGCAGAATGTGTTAATCTTAGTTATTCATGTTAGGTTCCGAAAAAGCTCAAGAAGAAATGGCAGAATTGAGAACTTTTTCAGCTGAGGTGTGTGAGGGTGTGATAAACAACCATTCATCATTGGGTTCCGAGTTCAATGAGGTTGAAGAAGACAAAGTTCCTGATACCCCCACATCCACAGATAGCTTTCATCATTTGCATAAGAAATTGCTTCTACTTGAGAAAAAGGACTCAGGAACTGAGGAATCCTTGGATGGAAGTGTTGTAAGCGAGTTTGAAGGTGGTGATGGAGTTTTGACCGTTGATCGCCTGACATCGGCTCTAAGAGCTGAAAGGAAGGCTTTGCATGCTTTATATGCAGAACTAGAAGAAGAGAGAAGTGCTTCTGCAGTTGCTGCCAACCAGACTATGGCAATGATAAATAGACTTCAGGAAGAGAAGGCAGCAGTGCAGATGGAAGCATTGCAGTACCAGAGAATGATGGAAGAACAGTCTGAGTATGATCAAGAAGCTTTGCAGCTGTTGAATGAGCTAATGGTAAAGAGGGAGAAGGAAAAACAAGAGCTAGAAAAAGAGTTGGAAATATATCGAAAGAAGTTATTGGATTATGAGGCAAAAGAAAAGGTGAGGATGTTGAGAAGAAGTAAGGACGGTAGTGCTAGAAGTGGATTTTTCTCTGCTTCTAGTAGCAATGCTGAAGATAGTGATGGATTATCGATTGATTTGAATCAAGAAGCAAAGGAAGATGACAGCTTTTATAGCCACCGAGAAAATGGCAATCACAATACCCCTGTTGATGCAGTCCTAAATTTGGAGGAATCCTTGGCAAATTTTGAGGAAGAGAGACTATCCATCCTAGAGCAGCTGAAGTTTTTAGAAGAAAAGTTAATAACACTGAGTGATGAAGAGGATCAACATTTTGAGGATGTAAGCCCTGTGGAACAATTCCATGAACAGAATGGCAAACACTTGGATGAACATGCTGATTTTGGGAGTGAAGCAAAGGGGCTTCCAAATGGTTTTCCCAAGGAAATTAATGGTAACCATCGTCATAAGAAAATAATTGTGGGTTCAAAGGGAAAGACACTTCTTCCACTTTTTGATGCAATTGGTGCTGAAAACGGAGATGTGGTAGCGAATGGACATGAAAATGGTTTTATTTCTGATGGGGAGCATAACTCCATTGTGACAAAATTTGAGTCAGAAAATCAGACGCTTGCCATTGCAGAGGAGGTGGATAATCTCTATGGAAGGCTACAAGCTCTTGAGGCAGACAGAGAGTTCCTAAGGCATTGCGTTAGCTCGGTGAAGAAAGGGGATAAGGGCATGTATCTTCTTCAAGAAATTTTACAACATCTTCGTGATCTTCGAAACGTGGAGCTCCGAGTGAGAAATTTCAGTGATGGTGCTCTTGCATGAGATTCTGCTTAACTATATGCCAAAGAAGATTGATGGTAATATGTTATTCCTTTTTCTTGGTGGTGTTATATTTTATTCCCGAATTTTAATGTTTAAAAAAATTGCCTCAACTCAACTCACAAATGACGACTTTATCTCCACTATTTGGACTTGGCTACATAAATTCTGTTTCTCCATTGTGTTGTATAAATGGTCTTGTTTTCCACTAAATCGAAAGCTATCATATTCTTTTTCCATTAAACAAAATTGTCTGTTTCTGATTTATTTTGGATTCTTGGTTTTCAGATTGTGTTCGCGGAGTTTATTGAGCAGCTGTGGATTTATGATGCAAGAACACTGAACTATAGGAGGGGGAGGTCCCTGTCATGTTCCGTTTTTTGGGTGATTTTGGTGGACAACAAATAGAGGTCTGCCTAATTTTTGGCCTATTGTTTTCCTGTTGATTGTGTAAAAGTATGCCCAAATTTTTGTGGGTTGTGTCCATCTCCACCTTCTAAGGGAAAAAGGAGGATGATGAGTGCATGTGTGTGTAGTCTAGTGAGGTGAAGCCACCCTGTAATTTGTATGTTGTGAGAAAAGGCCTGGCTTGCATAGCTGGAGAGATCCAACAAAGATTCCAATGCCAGGTACATAGTACTAGTTTATGATAGACAGTTAGGACTAGATCCATTTTTTTTTTCCCCTGGGGAAGGAAGGGGTGGGTAAGTAACTCCCTTTTTCTCTCTCCTCTTTGCATCATTTCATCACATGAAGTTTGTTTATTGTTTGAGGGGCCAAAGTTTGTTTAGTTGTATACTGCATGTATCTATTTTGTAAGTATATAGTGAGTGTTTGTTTGTACTGGTTTTGAAGTCACCCTTCATTCTTTTCTCTGTTTTTTTTTTTTTAAGTTTATGACAGATGTGGAGAAATGCAATAATAACTAGAAAAAGAATCAAAAATTGCTTTCACAATGGATTTTGCTTTAAGCATCAACAACTTTTGGTTGGTAAGGACCAACAAAAATCAATAAATTAAATGTTCCTACCACAGAAAATGTACAGTAAGTTGGTCCTACAGCCAACAGGTTTGCTTTAGGGGCATTATTGCAGTGGCAAGCATGCATATTCACAAACTAATTATTCCAAGTCACCACATTTAATGGCACAGGAATGACTGTCCTCCAGGGATATGCAACATAATCATTTTGGGTAGATTAAAGTATCGAAAAATTATTTTTTGGCTCCATATATTTTGTCAGATCACAATGGAATATGTGAAAGATTTTATTATTACATTATTTTATTATTTTTATGATTAATGATTATAAATAACTCAAAATTAGATCTATGACTAAGAATCATTTGTAGGTATTATATCTAAACATTAATTTTGGGCACCATAGCCTTATCCTAATCTTTATTGATGTTATGTTGACAATGTAATGACAAGACAATAGCCGGATCAGCTCATGGTCCACCTTTTGTCTGAATATCCTAAAGCATAAGTTGTAGTAGCTGTCTTTCATGCCGAGAAAATTTTGTACGAGTTTAACACATTATTTGATGGTGATATGCGTTGCTAATGAAAAACTATCATAGGGGGGAACAGGTCAAGAATCAACTTGAGATCATGTCTTCTTAGGCCTGTTTTGGATGTACAATACAATTTCTATAGTAATATTTCAGTTCCGTTGAAAAATGTAATAAGATGTTTGGGGCAATGTAAGTGATCAATGGATAGGAACTCATATCACGAGAGAAAACTTTGCGCAGAGTTCCATTACTATTAATGGGTGGCTCCGCGATTTCTTATGAGCACAGGTAATTCAGTTTTATAGTTCTTTATTACCTACATATGACCTTTTTTTTCCTAGGTGCTCATTTTGTCTGGATTTTTAGAGCGGTTGAATCAAAAATAATAATCCGAACTAACCTCTATAGGCTAGCAATTGGTATAGGAGATGGCTCATTAACTTGAATCAAACAGGAAGGCTGCCATTAATCCAAAAAAAATGTATCGTGTTGATCGATATAAGCAATGGATCCTGGTGGATCTCATGTAGTAGAAGTGGGAGAAAGTCTTTATGAATCAAGTTTTTATTTAGATACATAGTTTTAATTAACTTTTAATGTATTAATTATGTCAATTTGGGTATTCAATTTGAGTCACTTGTTAGGAAATTCACACAAAATTTTCAAACTTGTGAGAAACAACAATAGAGAAAACACAAAAAAAAAAAAAAAAAAACAATCACACGCATAAGACAATATTTACGTGGTTCAGCAATTTGCCTACGTCCCCGAAGCTACAGAAATTTCACTATTCACAAGAATGATTACAGAGAGGGCGGCGGCCGTACAGAGTCAATTAAAACCTAATCACCCAAAAGAAACAGGTTTTATATGTCTTGCGCTGGGCTACAAACAAATAGGCCCAAAAAATTCGGCTCAAGTCTTCGCTCCATGGACTAAGCCTCAGAAAATTTTTCATTAAAAACCACGCAACATTTTTCGGGTGGGGTTATCATCCGGATCAACATAAAAAACTAGACTTCACAAAAAAAAACTCAACATCACTTTGATCCTTAATCAGATAATCCATCAAAATTTTTGACGGAAGTGAACACGTGTCATTTTTTTTAGACGGTATCACGTGTCTAACACGTGATCATTCCGTTAAAAACTTAATTATTCGCCTAAGTAGGACTAAAATGATACGAATTAAATACTTTAGGGACCAAATTAATAAAATTGATATAATTAGAACTAAACTAACAAAACCAAAAATGTTATTAACTATTTTTTAAATGTTGTTCAGTTAAATGGCGGCGGCTTCTCTATGGTTTTATGAACTTTTATCTACAAAAGAAGTTTTGCGAAATCTCCCTCCCTGTAGTGGAGTATAAAAGTTCTTGTTCTTGACAAATGAGCAAAGTTTTTGAAGGAATTCGGATTCCATTAGGATTGTAGTACCTATTTTGCTGAATAAGTTGTCGTTTCACTGCGTTGAAGAATTACTTGGTGGACCGGATTTTCATTAGAATTTAAATTTGATTAGTTAGATATAAATTGATATTTTAAACAAATAATTTAAATATGAATTCAAGTCCGTTGTATCATATTTCGTAGATTCAAATTTGGATATAATAATGTTCAATCCCATTGTAAGTCAATTTAAGTTATATTCATAGTAGTTTGAATTTATTATACAATTGAATTATTTGAGGAAATAGGGCTGATAATTAATATACAATTTATTGAAATTTAACTTACTTGAGATATTTGAATCAAAAACGATTTTTGATTTTTGATGAATGTTGATATAGCTGATGTTGGACAAAAAGGATTTTGGACTTAGTTTTGACCACAAGCGCACGTCACCGTTGTCACCCCGACCTAGCCAAGCTCAGGCTCAGGCTTAGGCTTAGACTTGAACTTTGGTATAAGTGTGATCCAATCTTATTTTTTGGATAAAATTCATTTGTAATTATTTATAAATACCGAGACTTCATAAGCATTCTAAACTAACAAATTCATCATTAACACACTAACTACATTCATCATTTTTGTCTTTAAGAGTGTTCATATCAGAGAGTACGAAACATAATTTGGGGTTCGTTAAATACACATATTGTAGTATTTCTTTTGTGTATGTAATTTTTTTAAAATTTTCTATGTATAATTATTATATATTGGGAGCCAGAAGCTTAGGGAGAAGCATGAGAACTAATGTGGGAGAAAAAATATGTCTTAAAGATATAGTGTTAAACACTAGCCTTAATCAAATTCAATATCAGTTATGGTTCTGTAATCGAATCAGTTTTTATGTTTGTCACTGTTTTTTAATTGCATAACTTTTATCAAAAAATTCAATAAGTATTTTGTTATATATGAGACATCCTCCCAATAATCTTAAGATATATTTTTTTATATGATTACTTATTGTATTTCTGATTAGTTTCTTCATATACTACAATTGTTAAAAATTTAATTTTTACAATTTCTTGTTTATACTTGCAATATTGTCTTAATATGTATTGCAATAATCTATTGTTGAAAATTTTGAATATACTGTTATTGAAATTTCTGTTTCATAACTAGTTACTACAAAACGTTTTTGGTTACTAAAGTTTCTATTTTTATAACTAATTAATATAATTGTTATATTACTACGAAAATTGTTCTGGTTACTAGTTTTTGTATTCTAGTTACTATTTTTCTATTTTTGAAAGTATTATGTTTTCCAATTCTATATATAAAAAATGGCAATACATGAAAATAATGACTCTCTTATTACAAATCTTGTAGTGTCAATTACTATCTCTACCAATGTATCTAATGGAGAGAAACTCAAAAAATTCAATTGAAACGATTTCAAGAGATGACAACAAAAATACTGTTCTATTTCACTGCGTTGAATTTCGTAAAGTTTCTTCATAAAGATGTTCATGTTCTTCATGAGAATGAGTGGATCAGCAAGTAGTTACTACAGTAGATACATGAAAGCACTCTGATTTTTTGTGCAAAAACTATATTCTTGATAGATTGGATAATATATTATATAATGTGCATAGTCTAATCAAGACCGCTAAAAGAATTTTGGGAATTCTTAGATAAAAAATAAAAATAGAAGATGTTGAAAAGAAAAAAATTTGTTGTGGGAAAATACGTTTTCTACACAATGATGGATTTCAAGATTGTTATTAGTCAAGTTCAAAATTTTCAATGATCCTACATAAAATTCATACTAAAAAGATGACATTAAGTGAGTCCTTTCAAGTAGTTGTGATCATCAAAAAATTACAGGCACATTTAGCTAACATTTACTGTCCCTTCATTTCTTCTTAAGTGTGAGTCATAGATTGGAAAAGGAAGCATGCAGTGATGCTAGAGACTTTGGGCTTGGCTTGGAATGCAAAATGAATGGTTGGTTTGATTGAATGTAGAATTCCATTCATATGTTATGAATGCAAGGTGATGGCAAGGAAAATGAAGGAAATGAGTTTTAAATGTATATATAGGGAAAGTCGTGTGCAATGAAAAATGCAAGCATGGTTTGGAGAGGAGTTTTTGCTTACTTAATAAGGAAATTACCTATTCCATCAGATTAGTTCCAGGGCTTGCTAACTAGGGTTGGCAACTAAATTCAGTCTTCGAGACCCCATAAGAAAGTCGTGAGGTGCCGAGACTGATCACAGGTGTAAGAATATGTTGAATTTCTTTCATTTTGGTTATAAAAAGTGAAAGTCATTTCGTTTAGTATGAGATCACTTCACATCACGCGGTGTTTACACCTCTCGCCTATCGCAATTCTATGTAAAAATCTCGTCCGAGAAGCAAGTATGCTTTTCAAGCTTTTTTCTTACTAAAACAAACATATGCAAAACTCTCTCTTTGGCTTTTCATTGAAAGTAACATGCCTAAACATTAGGTAGGTGTTTTTACTCCACTTTTTATTTGAGTTCAACGTTCCCTTTCACTTTCATTTCCGGCTACAGTATATGCTTAGATCGAAAATTTTCTTGTGTGGGATGAGATTGACTAGATAAGAAAGATGATACCGAACTACCATTTGCATATTTAGACTTCAAAATCTTTATCCTTTGGACCTTTAATTAATGAATGTGATATTTGTGTCTATGTCAAAGACACTAATAATGAACATGTCATTGTTTGCCCTTGTGTGAATGATATAATTAAAACTACCAGAAAAATATTGTCCAATAAAGTTGATATGAAAAATTTGGATCTTGCAGATGTTGTACTAGAAGTAAAATTTTCTAGAACTTCTAGCGGACTTGTAGTATCTCAGATATATTATATTGAGAAAATTCTTAAGAAGTTCAATAAGAATTTATAA